TGCATTACTTTAGGAAAACGCGCGTGAATTGTGTCTCTTCGCCGGAAAATAACATGAATAACTTTTATCACTTCGGTTGTACCGGATAGTATGTACCTTTATTAATATTGTAAAAGTGTAATTGCTTTAATTACAGCATTTTTCTTTACCACTGAACGATGTTGCGCTTCGCTATATTTCATACCCAAACCTCTGTTCCATGACAGGTACGTAAAAACGAGCGAGAATTCTGAGCTAAATAACGATCGAAAGGAATGTAGAGTGTGTTCAAGGTTCGCTAGCGTTCCGGTGGCGCTTATATATTGGTAATATGCCCGTCCTGTCGCTCTATGAATATGAGTCCGTCGCGCATCTTTACGATCGGTTAAAGAACATTCGAATGTAAAAAATAAAGTACATGGGCTACGAAAGGTGTATCTTTTTATTATTTCCTATGTCAGGCAGTTTTTATCGAGCACCCGTTCTCTGACTTCTCCCTATTTGTAAAGATTTGGAGCGTGCGGTTGATGATTTGAACCCAGAACATGCATCTTCGCACATATTCATGAGCAGAAAGAATAAAACAGTAATTATTTATTGCAAATCGGACTATATTACGTGGCTTTCAATTTATTTTGATCGCCTGCATAGTTACTTATCCAGTGTTACTGCGTAGTTTTTGCCGTCTCTCTTGGTTTTCCACATGTCCTTCGGTCGTTTGACACGGATATACCCCATGGCGGAAAGCGCCGACGCCGTGTTCGCGCTAACAGTGTCCGACAGTGCACACAAATACATGTACGAAACGGTTTTAGCACCGTTTTTCATGCCACGAATTTGAAATAAAAACGCCGTAACTGACCAATTATTTCGTCTGCGTGACTGAGGAATGTTCCAATGTGCCTAGTACGTACCAAATATTCGGTATATTTGCTCTTGTAATCGAGCGCAGCGAGAAAATGCACTCGCTTTTTCCCATAGAAGAGCATTACCGGAAGTCAATTTCCGACTGGTTGCCGTCTGCTTCAATTTGCAGCAGCACACTAGCGCCACTTGAACCTCTAGCGTACATTAAAATAACTCTATGGTTGGGACGCCCGGAATGCCGTGACGATATCGACACTCGCGTTTGCTCGTGCTTTTCGCCCGCATTTCTACGACCAACCGCCAGGATCGCGACAGGCAACAACATGACACTCCGGCTTCTGTGACGTCATTTGTTGCCACTTTCGGACCACTTTTGATGTATGGGCGGGATAGGACGCTAAACGCACCAGTCGAAAACGCGCTCCAGGCACCATAGGGGTACTGCTCGTGCATGCAGCGTCTATGAGCAGTTCCGTAACTGAGCTAATTTAATAACGTTGGCTGCACCTTCGGACGCTGCTCCCGTCGTCATCTATCAATACGAAGAACAAATGCACCCCGCTACTGGACTTGGTCGTCTGCGTCGCAGCCCGCCGTAGACCCTGGCAAGCTTCTTCGCCCTATTTCTCACAAAAAGCGAGGTACGCTTTGTAATTTTACAAAAAAAAAAAAAAAAATGAGCTGTGAATTACACTTTTGACGAAAAGTTTAGATTGCCAAGTGCAGGCGTTGATATTTTTACGGTCCCTATTAGATCAAGCCTGGTGACTTGGGTAACGCTATATATACAAGAATACAAAACAATATTAAATTTGCACAGAAATAAAAGCAGTGAATAAATTTGGATAAATATTTTTGGCTGGAGCGGCCCTTCATGTTTACAAGGAAGTCGTCGACAGTACTGCATTGAGGCGATTGCGTGTTGTCAGTGGGAGAACACAGACAGCACGAAAGATGTGCTGCCTATGTTTCGTCCTTCTATGTGTGATTCTTTCGCAAGTTTTTTTTTTCTTTTTTTTCTTTTACCCAGTAGTTTGTTTGGTAAGGTGATGTTCCTTCAGGTAAGATTTAGTCGCACGTGTTTACGTGAGGAGCTCTACCTTTATTAAAGGTCCGGTAATCAAAAAGTTGATTACAGTGATTTTAATGCGGTCTAAAGTGCATCTGTCAGCAACAGTGGCGATCTGTAGGTGGCGATTGCGTCGTGAAACTTCCGAAAGCACGAACGCCAGTACGTTGAATTATGATTTCACAGAAGACTGAATGTACGTTTAAGAATTTAAACAAAATTGTAAATCTAGTTGTCTATCTCCGTTATTAATGCATACGAAAATGCTTTTGCATATATTTGTTTTATAATATTTGAACCCGACAAAAATCACGAACGTACTAGAAAATTCAAATTTCCCCGCGGAAAGGAGTTGACACTAGGGCTTAATTCTTGGTGTTACATTTTGGCAATCTCTAAAATCGATAAAGCGGGCGCCATTTTGAACTTTGTATGTACACATTCTTCACTGTAATAATAGTGCGGGAAAAAATCAAAACAACTGAGAAAAAAGCAAACTAGAAGGCCACTGCTGCATATGGAGGTTTTTGGAAGTATTTTTTGTACTTCCAATAATACTTATTGAGCTTACCAATGTATATGTTGCAAATTTTAGAGTTAAGGTGGCAATTTTGAACCGAGACTTTCTTTTTCAGCCTCTTGATTCGATGAGCTCAATTTGTAAATTAGGGTCACTGGCTCAACGAATGGCGTGGAAAAGTGTAGACGATGGGCGAATGCCTTTTTTAAAATCTAGAACACTGATTGATTGTGTCCTGATTGGGTTGAGCATCCACGTCACACAAGACGGTGTGGTGTATCCTGTTAATGTCACTCACAGTTCGAGAAGCACAGGTTTTGGTAAGCTCCGGGTATTTCAAGTACGCTTCGCAGCCAATGGGACTACAAAATTGTGACGATTAAAAGCGCTCAAATGACGAGGACCTAGTGAAAGAACACACACACACACACACACACACAGACACACACACACGCACACGCGCACACACACGCACGCACGCACGCACACGTACACACACACACACACACTCACACACACACACACCAAGAGCGCACTAGCAAGTGAAATTTAATCTGAATTTATCTAACTGGAAAAAAAAATAACTTATAGGCCTTATCAACAAGACACCCGTGTCATGTACCATAGTCTCCAAAAGACTATGCATGTACGCACATTGTCCTACTAATCTACATTTGTTGTTACTAGCTTGACCTATCAAAGGACTGTAAATACGCCTTCTCCAAATCATAGAGGGTAATCAATGGGGCGCTAACGCATATATCATGACCGCAATTCTTTATAATATGCGTTTTTGAAATTTGAAGTCCGGACGCTGCATAAATAATCGATAAAAAGAGCACGCACTCGCAATGAGATCGTCGCCCGCCGGTAATCTGGTGGTGCACTGCAATCGATGCGATTGTGTCCCGAAGCTTCAGGAAACAATAATCTTAGGCCGGAACCGAGCCAAAATAACGAGGGAAATATATAAGAAAGTATTTCATAAAGAATTGCGGTACATGCGCTATGGCCCCATCGACTACTCTTCATGACTTAGAAGTGGCGTATTTACAGTCCTTTGATAGGCCAAGATAGTAAGAAAAGATTTAGATTAGTAGGACAATGTTCGCACATGATGTGGGTGTTTTGTCGATAAGGCATATATGTTTTTGCCTGTTTTATCTATTCCGATTAAACTTGAGTTGCAAGTGTGCTTCTTGATGTGTGTCTTCTTTTACTGGTACTCGTTTTTTACCGTGATTACGGAATGATCAGAAAAGATTGCCGAAGAGCCAATCACGACGCAAAACGCGTGAATATAATAGGCCACGGCCTCCTATTCTAAAGTTGATTCTGATGATAGGCACCGTTCATGTGAACTCGAAGGAAAAATTCCAGTTTGGGATTTAACACTTCTTGTATTTTCTGTTTCATACTTTTTGTAGCTTTGTAGGCAATCTTTATAGATGCATGATCGGACCATGAACGACTTTCTTTTATTCTCTAATTTCTTCGAAAAGCTAGTTATTGATAAATTCATTAGCTTAGGACACTGAACCGTACTTCTCGTCATCCAAAGGTATCCTCCTAATTATTGGTGAGTTGATTAGAGTGAATTAAGGAGGCTGCAGGTCTGATTCCTGTTTTACCTTGACAATTTATCGAGGTTAGAATGTCGCCCCATATTATACTGCCTGAGTCAGTCTCCACAGAACATGTTGCGACCGCCACTTACCTGTTGAATTTACTTAAAAGTATCTTAAATCGCATTTCCAGTTTGGAAAACATGCACTGAGACGACAATTAACTGCATGATTTTATATCTGACTGATAACGCTGTATATTCACCGATGTTTCGAGGAATAGTGATATTGGCATCTGCGTAACACAGGTGTGCACGAACACCACAACATGTGATCGGCAGTATTTTTCCCCCGCAAAATATATGTTGGGGTACTGAAATAGGTGTAATAGCGCAGGCTACCTGGTAGACGGTCATAAATAAAAAAAAACACCGAGACAAGAGAAAAAAAACGAAAAAAGAACTACACTGTGTTCTGTTGTCCATTTTTCTTTTTCGTTTTATTTTTTTTATTGTCTTGGGATTGTATAAGTATACCCTTCTAGGACACAAAAGTTGGCTAGCTCTCTTGGATATTTTTGGTCCCTTTTTGATTGTTTTTAGGATGATCTTTTTAGACTTTGAGGAGCGGTGCAGAAAATGCTCAAATGCCAAAAAAAAAAAGGGTTACTTGGTCGGTGAGCGCTTGATTATGAAATTGTGTGAATCGTCATTTTATTGCTAGAATATAAAACACATTTTCGACTCTGATGTATCATTTGTGGATATAGCTGAGCGAGTTTTACTTGCGCAACTTGTTACAGTGGAAGTATAACGAAACACACGTTTCTTCAAGGTCTCATGTTTCCATGTAGATTTGACGCACTCGTGGAGAGGAGGATAGTGACCTTCCCATTGAAAGCGCCGTTTCTATTGACACATGGCAGTTTGTTTTTCATAATGTTAGGCATGCTCGTTTATTCAATTATTGACTCGTGTTTTCTTTCTGTTTGCTTCGATAGGCTCGCCGCGAGTTCTTGCATAAGCGACAAGCGGCGTCCACAATCGCTGCCTTTTTTAGAGGATGGAAGGTTGTATACAACATTCTTTTCCGTTCTTTCCTTTGATTTGTCTGTTTCCCTTTCGTGTATGGTCGCTTTTTTGTGTTATCTTCACTCTCTTTATGAAAGAGTTAAATGAACTTGTTGCCTCTTTGTTACGCGTCTTTTGTTCGAGCGCCCAGTATTGCGTCATACCTAGATGTCAATCCAATAATTACTTCTTTTTTTGTATCTTAGCGAGTGACAATTAGCGCGAAATCGAATTTCACTATAACTTCGAAATATCTTTAACAATTATTTTACTTCTTTTAATTTCCCGCAGATAGCACGATGGACCATTTCCTACGACCTGCAGAGAACATCGTTCATCCACACTCTAGGAAATAGGGGGTGTATTGTTCCTTCTCCCATATGTAACAACCCGAAACAACAATCCGAAGTTCAGTTCATATACGTCGAACAGACGATACCAATATTCAAGAGCGGCTTGATGGTCGACCGATACAAATTATTAAAATAGCTAATCTACGCATTAATTGCTATAATAGAAAAATCAGTCTTTTTTTTTTTTTGGCCCTGCGGCAAAACCTTATTGATTTTTGTTCTTCTGGTCTTCGATGCGCCCATTAACTGTTTAGCACGTTATATCCAACAGCTATCAAGCCGCTTGTAAACCTTGGTATCATCAGCTCGAGGTCAATGGACTGAACATCTAAACGTAGTTTTGGGGTGTTACATATGGGACAAGGGGTCTACCCCTATACGCCCCATATATTTCTAAGAGTGCAGCAAAATATGGAGTTCAATGTAGTCAACGATAGATTAAGAAACGCAAGGCTTAGGTACATGTTTCTTAATTCATTACTCGGTTTTCGGCGTTCTTATTTTCAAATTCAAGCATCTCATTTGCTGCATGAGCAACATTGAAATGTCCGGGACTCGTCCCTGCCTCTGCGTTTCATAAACTGTCGATGATTATAAAAGGTTTGACTTCTCTCGGGCAGATTTGGGCAGGGCTAATGATCATGACGCTTGGCCTTCTCGCTCTTCCTACACAGACCATACTTTTGTGTGAGACCGTTTCTTTTTTTCAGATTTAGTTGTTTGCTTGGCGTTCTCCACAGGTCGCAGTTACTGAGCGATTTGTCATAATCCTTATGAAAACCCAATTATGGCAGTACACGTCTATTATAAAGATATTTTAATGTAGAAGTACCTTTTTTCTGTTTGCTTTTAAATATTCGAACCTTTTTTTGTTGTTGTTGCTTGTTCGCCTTTTTTTTTCGCAGTATTTCTTTCACAAAGCAAAATGTTCGTTTGCTTTGTGAAAAATTGAGTAAATCAAGAAGGATATTGATTTTAGCAAGTTCGTTTTATCGTTGCGCTTTTTTTGAAAATTTATGACTGACAGCAACAGAACTTCGAGACAAATCCTTGACATTGTTTTCTTTGTTATAGGCAAGAGGAGAATTCGAGAGACGGAAAAGATGTTTGGTAATTGTCTGTCTTCACACTAACGCACGATGTCCACGTGGCGTTTGCTCCTCATTCTAACACAAGCGTTAAATTTTTGCATTCGCTGCATTAATTAAGCGTCCTTTAACATTCCTGCATGCCTGACCACAAATTTGATAGCCGCCCGCACATACAATAAATGCCTGTACAGCTAACAAAATCTTATAAAAATAGTAAAGCTTTTGATTAGATCTAGCATAAGCTTCGCATCAAATACTTGTAATAATCAGCACGAAACGGCTGAATCCGACGTAACCGGTAGTCATTGAATTAAATCAAAGTGAATGGCAGTAAATATGATATTAAACGTCATTTTTATTCCTTAAAAAAAAAACTTTAATATTATGAATGAATGTGGGATGTAAAGTGAAAAGTATATCTTTCGCTTTCATATATAAACAAAAGCTAGATGCCAAAATGTAATCGGTGTTTATTTTTGCACTTAGTGTACCTAGGTATAAAGCGATTTAAATGGTTTTAAAAAGAGCGAAAAAAAAACAGGAACAAAGAAAAAAACACATAGCACACGGACTGGCGCTAACTTTCAACTGATTTAATAAACTCTCCATCAAGCAATCCACCCGCCTGCAGTGCCATTACCGTCACATCATCCTAAAATGTTTATGTCCTTATGGGGTGGTGCTGGTAACATAGGCGGGTGGACTGCTGATGAAGTGTTCATTAAATCAGCCGAATGTTAGCGCCCGTCCATGTTGTTTGTGTCTCCTTCGTTCAAGTTTTCTTTTTTTTAAAATACCACTCTTATGAAAAATCAACTAGCTCAATCTTAAGTTTTAAGCTAGAAAGTGACTATATAACTCCCAGGAAAGAATATATTGTTTTTCTCGTACTAACCTTAGTAAAGTGCTTTCGAGGATGTGAACGTTTCTTGATGTTGAGGTGAGGTTAACGCAACAATTGATTCCTTCCGTCGTGTAGACACAACAAACTCACAGTGCGAAAAAAAAACCGCAATTTTTTATAGCGCTTTTTTTTAGTCTGAGGCATAGCGTATAACGTTTTTTTTTCCCACAATTTGATGTTTTCAGGCGGTTTTTTAGATTTATACGGCTCTGTTTTTAAATTATCAAAACGTGCTTCTTTCATCTTTAAAACCAAACAAAAAGCCACTAAGCTAAAAAAATATTCTACGTCCTCGAATAGTGCACAGACACCAAAAACAAACTTTTCCTGACCAAAAAAAAATTAACAAAAAAAAAAACAGAAAAGGAAGAAACACTAGACAAATTAGACGTTTTTCGTTTCCCAGTTGAAGGTATGTCGCTATACCCTCGAGGTATGACGACACTATAATTTACGATGTAGATGAGAAATTTAACCCGCGCAGTACCTCTGCTGGCCCGGGGTCTTTAACATACAATGTGCAGTAGCGATACACGAACGTACGCCAGTACAATGCTCTTTTAGATCGAAGCGGGCAGTTTGAACCCAGGATCACTCGGTTCGGCACCGCGAACTTTCGCTGCACGTTCTCCGGGCTGCGGTGTGCTAAAGCATTCGGCCAATTCCCTTGGTTGGCGCTTTGAAATAAAGACATATTTAGAAATAACTTTGAACTTACAATACGTCTAGCGACGTAAATAGTGCTTTAAATATATATTTTTTTTAAACTTCATTCTGGGACATACACGTCCTGCCCAGGTACTTAAAGTATGTTCCTGCTTTTTTTAAAGATTATTATGTTTTAAGTTCGACTATGACTTACTCTTTAGCGGACGTTTCGCGCCTTCACACAAGGATTAAAAATTACCCTAAAGATTGTTCAGAACGCGATGTTCAAAGCAGCCAAATCTTAACGTTTTTGCGCCAGCATCCGCCATGAACAGAGGAGCGCAATGCTCAGCTACATGTCGTGTATTTAGTTCTTGGCACGACGTAGTTAACTTCGCATTTGGGTGACTAGACGGGCAACTAGGGCGACCGACTAACTTCCCGGTATGCTTTTTCTACCTGGTGTATATCACTACCAACGAGCCAGCTGCAAATTACCTCAGCTACATATTGCGTCGTTTTTGCCCGTCAACCACACTTCATAGATTACGTGTAATTGAAGTTTGCGCAAAATGCTATTGATTTTTGCAGTGAAGCAATAGATGAGTGACGTTTGTTCAGACACGAGTTCATGCGAAAAAAAAGCGGCACTTTAATCTTTTTTATTGCATTGGATAATACCCAGCCCGTGCCTTAGAGGAAACGGTTCAATCAATTACAGCTGAAGAAAAGCGGGCTCTGGCGACTGTCGAGCATCTTAATATTGCGCCGAGGCCAATACCGTATTTACTCGAGTAATAGCGGCACTATTTATGATCCAGACCTTTACGTCTACTGTCCCGCAGAACACATATACAGCCAATCATCGCGTTGCGCATAAATAGCATAGGGAATAACTAGATCGAGAACACGATTCGCCACTCTAAAAAAAGTCAGTGGAGGCAGTTCACCGAATGACGATGCCGAAACATATGTTTAGACCAAAAAACGCGGTGACTGAGTTGTGACATTAAGCAATCCAAGCGTGACGTTTTGCATTGCGTAATGTAACAACTCAGACTGCGTTTTTTGGTCTAAACATATATTTCGGCATCGTCATTCGCTGAGCTGACTCCGTAAGTTGCGGTGATTGGCTCTCCGAGTGTTGAGCGGGAAAGTAGACGCACAGACGTTTTTTAGAGTGCCTACAAATGCAATCGTCACAGATGGTATCTTCGCACGAAGACGTTATCTCTGCCCTGTAAGCCGCTGGAATCATAGTGTCGATTGCGGTAATTGGCAATCGTCGTGCTCCACGGAAAATGAAACCCTCAGGATTTTTTCATAAACAGTGCGGCTATTACTCGATTAGATACGGTATTATTGTAGTATTCTCCGATAAAAACGTCCAAAAATGAAGCAGGAAGCAAATGATGTGAATATAATATAACCGCGACCTGCGTTTCTCGCGTTGTCCGCGATAAATTGCGGCCACAACAGGTTCAACAATCAGTCGGGCGTTTCAAATGTTCGACTACCTTCTCATATCAAGGTGCAGAGGTCAGGTTATTTATGTCGTGTGACAGGTAGTTAAAAAAAATGGGGGTTCCTTATAAGCCAGGCAGCGCCGCCAGTCGTCGTCAGGCAGCACCGCCTCTGCCTCAGAGCTCTGGGTACGGTATCGAACCCGAGGACTCAAGCGCCACCTGCGTCGCGTAAGCTTCAGATGACACCGGCGTTTCGTTGCATGTCAGCTAGGGCAATCTCTCGATATTCTGTTTTATGATTGTGCCGGTTGCCCAGTTTCGGCAACACGGTGCAGCTTGAATTGTGAAACACTAGTGCAGGAGGTCCATAGCCGAAAGGACAGCGCCCACATCCGCCAATGTTTGGCGCTCATGCTGTAGCGTTAAGTCTCGGGAGCATTGTGCACATGTGGCTCTTATATTTGGTGGGTAACACACACCAGTTACGTTAGGCACCGCTTAACGAACTTCGACAAGTTTATGATTCCTTCCAGCTCACTCTTTGGGCAAACAAAACGGTATTCATTGTCTGAAGGTTCCTGACACGAGTGTGTGGGTTTTAGGATGGCTAGAAAAAGCGACGAGTAAGGTTTATCGGTGACTTCCCATCATATTTTACCGCAACCATAAAGCATGCTACCTAAAGTGGAAGAATTAAAGGGAAAAAAATGACATTGGTGCTTACATTTGGAAAGCCCGAAACAATTTGAACTTTGAACTCCATGCTTTCGTGGAAAAAAAGAAAATGTCTAATTTCAAACATGGCGTATTCGCGTTCTTTATTGTTTTCTGGTTTTTCACGGGATTCTATAACTGAGGATGCTATATCAGCACGAAGCAAGCTGTGTGTGAAATAACGATACAGCCTCAGACAAGTTCACGGTTCAATTAAGTTATGTGAATGACTCTGTCAAGCCACATTATTTAGGCTAAATTAACACGGCTGATCACTAACTATACTTTTCAGATATAGTATCTCCCTCATTTCGTTTTGAACAATGACTACAGGGATAATATATCCACGACAATTTATGCTAACGACTACGGTGTGTGAGTTTTCAACGTGCTTATTGCTATATTGAAGGCGTAGAAACTCCGTACTCGGTAGACAAGTAAAGGTGTGTTGATATCGATGCCCAATTAGAGACGCATTTACCTTCAAAATTACGGCCGTAAACAAATGATTTACACACAAAGTAATGAACTGAGTGCCAGCAATTTTTTACAGGGTTGTCTTTTAGGTGGTGCATTTATCATACTCAAGCTTTATGAGTGTAGGTTTTAAGAAAACAAAGCAAACAGAAATAACTTTTTCTTTTTCCTATGCAGAGGGAAGAAAACGACAGAAAAGTTCTAGTTGACGCTGCTCCTCACAGATGGCAGAACATAAAAAAAATTTCAGGCTATATTTTTTTTTAACCTAAAACCTACACTAATAAGATTGGACTATGACAAATGCACCGCCTAAGAACACCATTGCAAAACGTTTCAATGCACTTCGCTTACTAATTTCCTTTTACGATTTATTTTACGGCTGAATAGCGTTGGAGAATACTGCGTAGAACGTTTGGGTTGTGTTACAGCGGTTGTATATGATGCCTGGAGAGCGCGTCTCCGGCTGGTGTGTTTAGCGTCCTATCCCGCGACGCACCTGCATCACAAAGTGGCCCCCCACGTGGCAACAAATGGCGTCACAGAAGCAGGAGCGTCATGGTGTCGGATGTCGCGATCCTTGTGGTTTATGGCTAGAAGTCCCGGCTGAAAGTACGATGCGAACGTCAAGAGTGTCGCTATCGTCGCAGCGACCCAATTCCTGACTGCCGAAGCTTCCATTGTCTGCCAAGCTAGAGAGCAAGCAACCTGGCTCAGAACAGGCGTCTGCCACAACCACGACCGCTGCCGTCACACCACCAGGATCGCGGACGGCGACAGCGTAACATTTCAATGACGTCATCAGGCAGAAATTGAGAAGCCACGTTTTAGGAAGTGGTAACCAGACCAGTAGGAGACGCGTTAGAACCACCAGAGCGGTAGACACTTGTTAGATAATTGCAATGGCCAGCTTGCTGTAATCTTCCGGGCATCCAAGCTCATAGATAAAATAGTATGTAAACATTTTATTTTAAAAAAATACTCAATATTTAATGACATTACAGGCACATCAGATATGAAAATAGGTTCCATTTTTAAGCACCTGGCGCCCAAGGCGTGTATAGTTGTTTCCGTATTTCTAGTAAGTAAGCTATGACAACAGCGTAGATTTCGGTAAGAATAACCACACAACCAATAGGTTGCAATTAAAGCACCTTAAAAGTCCCTTTCATAAAAAGCTAGGCTAGCCTGGCAATGCTAATAAAAAATGAACACAGGAAAGCAAGCGTTAGAAAAGCGATTTGAATCAATCCTTGCTCGTGTGACTTCTTGGGAGGGCGGACCAGGCAGGGACCGATTGGGCAGCAGTATAGTAGAGCGGCCTACACAACTGGCGCCCCACGTTGGGCGCCAGTTGTGTGGGCCGCTCTACTATACTACTGCCCAATCGGTCCCTGCCTGGTCCGCCCTCCCAAGAAGTCACACGAGCAAGGATTGGTTCAAATCGCTTTACTGTTCGGCGTCTTGGTTCTGGGCCTGGCAGTCGCTGTCGTTGTCCTGACCGTGCCTGGCGGAATCCTCGTGCACTCTGTCACGCGCACCGGGCCGGCGGCCACCGCTCCTGCCCCCTCGCGCGCCGTCATCCTCCTCGGCTTCCCATACAGTATGCGAAGTTTAAGAACGTCTTGACAAGATGTCATAAAGTTCTTTTTTCTGACAAGATGTCATAAAGTTCTTTTTTCTGACAAGATTTCTGTAAGAAGAAAAATTATCCCGTCTATATTTTCCCCACTTTGGTTCTCAACATATGCGGTGCTTTTTCATTTGCTTTTCGGTGTGTATTGGTTAAATAAGAGCATTTTTATTTAACGACGCGACGGCAGCGTGTGAAATGTAGCAGCGACGCACTTTCGTATTCCTTCAAGGTACAAAACACCATCCGGATTTTACTAGGTTCTCTTTTAAAAATGAGTTTCCACAAAATAAACGTGATCAACAAATCCAAATGATAAACATCGCAAGACGCATGAAGTTCGTTGCTGAAAACGACGAAATACATTTCCGAGAGAAAACTGATTTCTAGAGCGATTTAACCTGAACTTCATCTGTCTTTAGCACGCCCCTGCTTCTGGAGCTGAAATAATGTCAATTTCCAGGCGCCAGTGAACCAGCCATAACTTGATGGCTATTGTAAAACTAAGACATTAATGTTTTGTTTGGATGATCTTTTTTTTTATATGGCCCGTCATGTGAGGGTAGAGATCGGTGACAAATCCCGGGAATGCGTTTAAACCAGTAATAACGAGAGACGAATAAAGTTGCGTGTTACTCGCAAATTTAGTTATGGTTAATTTTTTTGTAAATATAATTTCGCATATTCATTATATACTTTATAATCAAGCTATTCAGACGCCCAAGAAGTCTTTTACGAAAGGCGACGGAGCAATCTGGCTTATTTTGATGAATCGTTTTACGAACGAGTGGCCAGGGGCTCTATATTGAAAACTCGGCAAGAAAGTCAGCAAGATCGTCCACCGCGCGATTGGCCAACGCCGCGCCATGATTGGCCAGTGCCAAGGTCAAACGCGGCATTGGCCAGTCGCGTCGATTGGCGATCTCGCGGGCTTGGCCGCCAAGTGTCCAACATAGAGCCCCAGATCTAACACAAATTTAGTTATTGTTTCAGGCTAAAATTTTACCATTGCATTTGCCTTTCAGCTGGACATGGTAGCAAGAGGGCAAACCTTGTACCCTATTTTCTTCTCACTATCTTGTATACTAAAAGGCTTTGCTGCTTTTGACAAAAACGTGGCATCTGTGCGTATCTTGCTCCTTCATAATGTGTCTCTCAGCATAAGGAAACTGGCGTAGAAACTAAGCGTGCGAACAAGAGTAACATGCACCAACGACATATTTGACCCTGACTTCAGAGGGCGCTATCTTGATCTAGGTGCAGCAATTGTGCGAAAATACAAATTACTCGCTAAGGTACCTCGGTTACATGACAAACTACAAAGATTGATAAAAACTAGGCTGACTTTTTCTAGGTGCCTAAAATGAAGAAAGGCGCTCACCTTGCTCAAAGTTCGATGGTTGGCCAGGGAGGATCTCGCGCGCACGCCAAATCAAGGAACTCTGCCCTCGCGGTCGGCGCGAGCGGGGGAGTCTGCGGCGGCCGCAAACTGCATCAGTCGCGATTGCCTACAGCAGTGCTAACGGTTTTCGTCTCGCCCCTTCACTGTTTCTGCCACGCTTGGCGAGCATTTATAAACGTGTTTTACATGGAAAAGTGCCTGCTTTCAAATATTTTTATATCATTCAATTGAGAACGCCAACAGTGGCGTACCAACTTGTTTTTGAGTAAGAGGCAAACCTGAACCCCCCCCCCCCCCCCCCCGCACCCGCATGGGCGGGGCGGTCCCTTGGTATGCCCCCTCCCCCTCTGAGAACTGGGGGGGGGGGGGGGGAGCGCAAGCGCCCCCCCCCCCCCCCCCCCCCGGTTGGTACGCCCATGAACGTCAAGTTCGCTCCTCGAAAAGACGAAAGCAGGAACCCATTTAGTGTTAGAAATTAACTGAGCTCACACGTCCCTCACTGATGGCGTGACGTTGAAGTAGTTGGGTGGTAGTCACGGTGGTGGTAGTACAGCTGTACTCACTGACAAGGTGAGAAAGGCAGAGAGGAGCTCCAGTTGTTTCCTGCGCGAGCTTCATACTTTCCACAATGGTTCGGCGCCTCGCGCACTTCGAGCGCGCGCGCGCAGTCAATGCACTATGGTAGGCAAGGAGCGCGTGTTGGATCCCGTGCGTTCGAGAGATATTCCCCGCCGTTCTCGCTTTCTCATCGACTATAACAAAGATACCTACTGGTTCTGATAGTTTTTTGGTTTCAGAGCGTGCGCAGAGGAGTTTTGTGACAGGCGTCGGTCGATTTGACTGGCTCTAAGCTGCGTCCATCCTCTACTTTTTCTTTAAATAGAGAGCTCTTGCTTGCACAATTGACGTTGCGTTCACCTACCGGCAATAGCCGCGCGAAAAGCACTGCTTGCCCTCTCCGACACACAAGCGCACCGCGTGTGCCTGCCGAGTCCCGCCAGTGTGCACGAGCCCAGCATGCGTTCCTCACCGTCCCGCCGCTTTGCGTCTCGCACTACCGTTGGCGGCTCCTATGCCGAAGCGCGTGACGTGGCCGTGTATATGTGTGTGTGCATGGACATGTGCAAGACGAGGGAGCAGTTCCACGACGTCGGGCAGTCGAGGCGAAGGGAGTGGGCCGCCCGCGTCCTCGCCCGGTGCTACCGCTTCTCGAAGGTGAGCACGGACGCTCGCTTCCTCAGGCATGGTCTGCGATGCACCAGTGCATGCGCGATTGCACTCCGATGCATGTTCACCCAAAAACGCGAAGCTACGTATCATACTGACAGTGGGCATGCTTCCGCTATGCAATCGGTTTCGAACTAGTTCCCTAGGACGTAATGTCGTATAGCTCAACATAATCTTGTCATGGCACATCCAGTCGTTCAAGTCACCAATAAAACTCAGTTTGACGGAATGGATTTAATACGGAAACACCCAGACATCCGCCTTAAAAAAGCAGAGTTACCATAACCTTCGGTGCGTCAAAGCAAGCTTCAAGGGATGTGCCTGGGTTAAGTCATCTACTTGTATTGCAGGTTTTTGGCATACATCCTCATGAAGAAGTGCAAAATAACAACGATTGAGGTTTTCACAAATAAGATTTGTACGTAACAAGGTGTTGAATTGGGTGAGTTGGTAAAAGTTTGACATGGTGGGTGTAACAACTTCACGTGCGTACGTAGTTTGCACGTAGTTTGTGGCATCTCCTCAGGCCTGTACTGGCAACTTAGTTCCGTTCCGACCTGCTTCATTCCTTACGTGTTCTGGCTACCAGTAACCGTGCATTGGAAGCAGGTTGGAGAAACATTGTTGCCATACTTGAGTGATCACCAGTGAGCATTCCGCTACGTACAGATGTACTCAACTTCCGCTAGTCAAACTTCATACCGCGACCAACTATACTCTCGTCCATGTTGCAGGTTGATGCGTTTACTGCCTTAGACATTGTGCATTAAGAATCTCAATGGGAGGTGTACTGTTTTCTTTTCGGGTGTTCGTTCTCATGGAATGCTACTGCCAACAACCGTGCTACCTCAAGTAATCCTGCGACCTCTGTGAATAGAAATATGAGGGTTCCTCAATTCCATAAATTTCGTAACTTCAAGCCAGCAGGAAGATGACACCCCCTTATTTTACACATTTTATTTTAATCCAGTTATTTTCATTCGTTGTGACGCTTATGAACTGCCAATGGCTTACCAACAATGCAGGAAAATATTAGTAATGGGCTAATAATGGTTCAAACACTGGGGAACTATAACGTTAATGTGAATATTGATTTCACTTATAATATTAGATGAATGTTGCAAAAGTGTCATTGACTTAGTTGCATTAACGCCGTTACCAAGAAAGGAGATATATCTTTGAAACTCTTTCGAAAGGATGAGTAAATATGCATGTGTCCATTGCTCCTGACAAACAATACCGAGTCGCTGGGCTGTGTAGGATTTGTAATTGGCGCAGCATTGTTCAAATTATCCTGCTTTGGGGTCGGATGTTTACGGCACTAGTAAATATGTACCACGGTGATTTGTAAGTTAAGCATTATTTTGCACTAAACGAGAGGGCTAAACTTTGAGATTAAACTCACTACGATTGAGAGTATCGCACTGCATGTTACCACCACGCTAGAACTTGGAATCAGATGGCTTTACATCTCAAGAACATTTTGTGCACATCGAAGCATTTTCAAAAGGAGCAGCTAACCTTTTGAGCTGTCATTCCTTAAAAATCCTTTTGATGCTAGGTCATCCAGCGACATATGACGTCTAATAAAAAGTAAAATTTCGAACGACAGGCTTTGATCAATTTGTAAGTGGTATTCACTGGCCCCCATCGTTGCGTCGGCTGCTGGTAAACGCTAATCAATAGCGAACATGCAAAACGGACACACAACAAGCAGAAATGGTATAACATTAAACGTTTCCTTTTCAGTCGGGTGCAACTAAACTCCTGCCCAACGTATGCACTAAACGACAACGACATTAAGAATAAGGACCAGCGCCTGCGTTCGATTTATATAGCCTTTTTACCATATCCATGTGCATTTATGAAAGACGGGAAAAATGCCTGTTTGTTCGTTTGTTTATTTTCTTGTTGGGATTTTTGCTCTATAAAGAAAGTAAAGAATATCCAGCTATATATGGAGTTTTTTTCAGTCTTATCCAAAACTTGTCGAGACGTATATTTCTCGATGTGCAAAAATTTATATTAGCGTATGCAAAAGAGAATGTAACGAGCGACTCCGTTTGTCTGAAAACATGTGTAAATTGAGAAGGTTTTTTGTGAAAACAAAAAACTCATATTTTGCGGGCTATCTGGTCGTAGAATGTTCAAGGAACTTTGTTGAAGCATATCAAAAATCAAATAAGTTTCTAAATCAATGCTAATTTTACTTCCCACTTTCGTCAACTTGTGTGCTCAGAAGATAACTTATACATCAATATGTGATCATGAATAACTAAATTGTGACAGGCGTACTTATGGAAGCTCCAAATACTATTACACCTTTTGTTCCCACCATAAGTGCAACTCTGCAAGGTCTGCCGTCATCATTGAATGTTTTAACCTTCAATTTAGTTAAGAAGTTTTAGTAAAACACGCGGGAAAAATAAAAATATAAAATTTAGAAATATGCTTATGGTAGACAATTCGCTTTATAGGTTTAACTCGGCCCATCAATTTTTGTGGCTGATGTGATGGGTCTATTCGGAGGCTATTTGGGCCGTCAGGCGAGACAAAAAACTTCCCGATGTGTTCATTGTTTTATGGAAACATTGCTGTCACCTCTAACATAACACTGTAACAATCTGACGTTCTGGCACTAGATAAGGGATTCATAGTCTTCTGCTAAAAAGCTTCTCAAAGTACAAGGCGAATTTATAAAAGTATTGCAAATATTGGGGCCTTTGTTGCGTTACCAATTTGGTCACGTGTCAGAGTTTCGTAAATAAATCTAATGCTGTGGGAGATATGGCTAAGGACGCGCAGCTTTATTTTTGTGTGTTTTACTTTGAGATACGTAAAACATGTTCTTCTTATTTATATACCCAAACTGACTACTTGTTAAAAGTTTCATTGACACCAACTTTCAGTTCGAGGTGTCTCATGTGTGTTCGGGCGTTACTTACATTTTTTTCTTGTACTGTCTTCAAAAATTTGCCAAGTGCACTGAACGGTATACTTCACTTTCGCCGGTTCTTTAAAATCGTTGGCAAAACTTATTGGTTTCCATACATAGGGTGTTTAAGCGAAGACTTAAAAACTTTTCTACCATAAAACGGGTTGAGGAAAAAAAAATTTTTTTGAGAACAATCTGCAAGCTATGGCGGATGTCAGGGACTGCGAAAAACATACAAATCACTTAAATATTTATCAAAAATTTACAAATTTGTCTTTTAAGTAGTGGAAACAAAAACATCGTTTCACTTAGAGATTTGCTAAGCGTCATTGAAATTCACTAAATCATTAGACGTACACAAAGTACGTGTGAAGCGCGGGAGTGCGTTGAAGCTAGCACTCGTGCAGCAGGTACAAGGCTGGTAATAAGAAAATGCGGATAATAAGGATATAATTCGGGTTTTCGCATCGCCAGCAGTGCCTGTTGCGAAAGAAGAGCACTATTGGATATTTTCTCCTGATTCATTTGATACGTCAGGAAAGTGCCATATCTGCCATTTTAAATTAAGACACATTACATTCCCTTTGTTGCTTTGCGCTTCTCTCACCAGAGAATTGTGAAATAGGTGTTACAATTCCCTGATTTACGCTTACGCATGCTATGACCTTAGGCCTGTGCATTTTCGTGTTATGCAATATTCGCTTGTTTTGTCTCGTAAATACTCCTTAACCATGTGCTTAGGTAGAAATAGTATTCATGCATGCGTGTTTTTATGCCTAAATCGCTATCGTGCAAGCCTGCCGATTTTTATGAAGTTTATAGTTTTGTAAATTAGGTTTAAAATAATATTGATTGTGCACGTATGAAAATCTTATTCCGAGAACCTATCTCACAAACATTATAATACTAAAAAGAAAGAATAGAAATAAACGCCACAGAGAAGCCGGTAAAATGTTTATTGAATTGTAAGTAAGCAGGTTCACTATTCCCACGTAAAGCTTTTGATGACCATTCTTTCTTGTTGACGATTGAACCCTCATCTTTATTTACAGAAAAAAATTTCTCTCCGCTTAAGAATGAATAACACACTGTTTCCCCGGAGCAGTTCATTTGAAGCGGATGTCATACTTTACATGTTTAATATTACAGCTTTCTTTCAACAAGCCTCGAAGACCTAACCAATTTCAACAAATGGTTAAAATGAAGCATGCCAAAAAAGAAAAATAATGAAAAACTGTGCTGGCATGTTGTTTAAACAACTAACCTGTTGATACTGAAATAATACACTAGACATTTAACCGCTTGCATAACTTTACCTGTTTATTTTCGCTTATATTGACGAAAAGGTTAAAACTTTATTAAATATTTAAAGAAAACGTGTTGTACAAAACCCAGAATGCTGATCATAACTGCTTTTAATTTTTATGCTTTTTCTATTGCTTGTGAGCAAAGTGCTGATACTTTGCGCGCTTTCTAAATGACATCTTGGTTTAAACAATTCCCAGCACCAAACTCTAAGTGACGGCCTCACTTAATGTTAACATATTTTACGTGTGGCCTGGTCTAAAGTTTGCTGAAATAACGACTTTCCGTTTTGTTTGTTAAAAGAAAAATCTTTAGCGGAAGTTGCGACGAGTCTTTAGGCGCCTGCATCAACTAAGTGGCTGAACATTCTGAGTATTTCAGCTTTCTACATAGATACACAACTGTTCTTTACATGAAACGTCGTAGTTACTTAGAAAGCAGTGTGGTCTGTCTAGACTTCCAATAAGCTATTTATATTGCATCTGCCTTTCTGGAATCCCCTCGTCATTTTCTGTTTCTGAAGATCATTTAATTCTCCTTAATACATTTGTTCTTGTCTATCACGTAGTTGTATACATAGTTATATTTATCACGCACAAAGCTTCCACAGCACCTTTTTGACAAAATGCCTTGAATGGTCATAAGTAACAGTAATATACGTGGTCACTGACCTACAATGAAATTGACGCGCTCCCAAACTAGAGTCAAGAATACAGGATACGGAGAGGGAAGATCTAACCTTTGCTTACGCCAATATTCAGTGTCTTCTTTTCTTTCAATAATATCGGATAGACTTTGCCCACGTTAGGTTTGGATCTAGAGATCTAAAAAAGTGAAGTCAATTGCTTAGTGGTTTATCTTACTTCTGTACTTTCTGTTAATATTCCGTTAGCTCTGACAACGTCAGCGTACCGCGCCAAAAGTTAGTTTCGCCTTCGTCAGAATCGGGGGACCTGTTGTGAAGCATGATGCAGTTATAAAGCAATGAGCATGAAAGCACCGCAATTCGGAGAATCTTTAAGCAGCTGAGGGTGCCTTTCAGCGTCGGCGGTACCTGCTGTGGCTGGCACACAACCTACCCTCCGAGTCACCCCTGGACCGGTCGTGGCCGCCGGCCCCACGCTTCCTCCATACAACCAGTCACATCCTGAAAAAGATGTACCACAAGTGGAGGGTGGGTAGATGTACCACCAGTGTAGTAGGCCTCTCGTGGAAATTGGATTGAACTAAGACAACTCACGTGTGGCGTTTTAAAAAGTTGTTTTTCATTGCAGTGGAATGCTTCTGCAGTTTATTTTATACTTTAATAAACCAATAGAATACGACTAGGAATTGCCCCCCCGCCCCCCCATCTGTGGGTCAAAATAATCCAAGATATTTTCTCTGCTTTACCATAACCTTAAACCTTGTTTCATTTTATCTATCATCTTGGAGCTCCTTGTTAAAACTACTTTTTTATATTTCTCTGTACCTTCACTCCGACTTTTAAGATAAGTCTTCCTTGCGTCACCGATTCTTTACTTCAAGTTTCGATTTCGAGCAAAAGTTGATTTTGTTCTAGTTTATTTAGTCAGCCGTTTTACAGGCAATGATTCTTTGGTAAACAATTGCTCTTTCACGACCTGTGTGCATATTTCCTTTCCGTGCATCGTGTATCATTCTTTTTAGACCTCAACTTCCCTTTTGCCTGGAAACACAACCAAAGAGATTGAGCCTCCTGGAAAACATTGGTGCTAATAACATTTCAAGCATCAACCACCCCTTATTTTGTAGGGAGTTTGTGTAGCGAGTAAACTATTCAATGTAGTAGCTGCCAGAAGCAAAAATAAGATGTATGTAAAACTATATGTACTATCACGATCAATATGAGTGTGAGCACCTCTCCGCGTGGCGCCCGGTACTATCAGTACCACCTATCGCTTTTCCCATGAAGTATAAAGGTGCTTAGCGTGCGAGACACGTTGCCTACAGCGATCGTTTCACCACTATGCACTTCCGGATCGTCTGCTAGCGAAGAACGATCGGCACATCCGCGAAACTGATAACCACTAACGCAGAGCATTTTCTTGCCATGTGCGCCAGCAAAAATACCTTATATAAAAATTTCTGCAGGGTAACCTTTTTCTTATCAATTTTAGTAAATTGTTCCTTTGACTCCGATAGCAATCTCCGATACTCCGCCGACGGCTTTGAGCCTGCATCATATTGTTATCGGAAGTATCCGAACAATCGAGTAAAGCTGCCGATTATTCACTTCGCGTGAGTTTTGCGATAGCAAAACTCCCCGAATCTCCACACGCAAGAAGTTAGAGCGGTGCAGGCGTACGTGAATTCCGCTCCCTGGATCATAAAAAGCAACGTGACAGAACGTAAATCAATCGCAGACTTCCCGAAGCAACTTCGGTGTCACTCCGAGCCTTTATGATGCGATAAGCAATGCACCACTTTCAGCAGCTTATGCATAATCCACGCGAGGAAAATCAGTCGTGGAAGACATATTACAATTGTTTGCCCCGTCACGCACACACCCGCGCGAGCGCCACATTGCGCCCGTACTTCAAATTGCGGATGACAGTGTCGGTACAAGTTGATGAGTCGGAACTGAAAGGCGGCACAACGAGCCCAAGAATCTACTTGTCTCGATCCCCCTTGCATCATAGCTTTACGGGGCATTCTATAGGGGGTGCTGATAGTACTGCGGGCCGCACGGAGCGGCGTTTACACTCCTATTGATCGTGATAATACTTTCAGTCTTGTTAATGAGGGACAGTAGAGATCTTAGATAAAGGATCAATTATTTAACTACACACCTCAAGGCCAACTCCTAACACAATTTTCTCTTGCACCACACTCTCCCAGACAGCCAGCGTAACGAAGGAAGAAAAAGGGGAACTGAGTATGGGAAGGAATTAAACTACCAAGAAAAAAAAAAGAGGGGAAAGCGCGAAATTCGTACATCGACGGTTGAACTAACTTAAACAATATTCTAATGCTAGAAGTTTGAGCCCCAGTCTTAATTCATTCACCCGGGAGTCAGACAAAAAACAGCTTTGAGTTACTTCAAAGTGTAGGATTTTGACCAGCTCACCTGTGCCCTCGCCACATTATCACTGGTGTGATTGTTTTTTCTCTCGCAGTGTTCCAAGTACAGAATGAGGTTTGACCAAACAGCTCGAAATCGAATGCGAGAAAAGGTCACCGCGAGCATCATCTTTAGGGATCGGAAGGCTTCCTACGCGAAAAGGTGAACAGTGGTTCTCGAGAATAGCTACATTTGTTTGCAATATAATATTGTTCATTCCCGGTATCCTCTTTGCGCCCTGCAGTGTATCTCACCCTTTTCGAGGGGACTATGTGCGCCTGCGCCAGAATGTCAAATGGAAAAAACTGGCCAGCGAAACCGGCGACCAGTACGTTGTCTTCGCGGACATCATCAGCAAGATTACGAGATCAAGCGGCAAGGTAAGCCTCTTTTTTTTACTTTTTTTTTTATTCGAAATTGTGCGATTTTGTATTCATTGAATGCTACCTTGGTAATAATGAAACGGACTACTCGAAACACAATTTTTTAAACAAGGGCACACCTTTGGTGGAGCGGTGCAATAGCAACGGGATTATTTGTGAAATAAAGAGGGTACTGCACGACATAACGAATATTTCACCGGGTTCCTGCTTCTAAAACAGTTTGTGTGTGTGTCGTTTTTGTTAGTGGTGCTTTAGTAACGGCGCTACACTCACACTTGTTCTCATATCAGATAAAATATCTGTGCTGCGTATTTGATCAAAGTCATAGCGCGATGCATTAAAGTTAATGATATAGTCAATCGCTCTATGTATAGGGGCTCATATATATGATATACAGTATATTATTTTCTAATTATCCGTATTAATCCCGCAAAGATCGATTACTAGCTGAACTTTGTCAGATAAAGCATGTAAATAGAATATTTTGTTGTACATACATGCATTTCGAGAATAAAACTTACCTGCGCCACGAATAAGAGTTAAAATTGTCATTAGATTGATTCCGTTAATTTTCATCCGTCACCGAAAACTCGTCCATTTCCTTTTAGTCAACTGTTGTCATTAGCGTGATGTAATCACATGACACCGACCAAAAAACAATGTACTGTGGCCACGTGACGGTGTCAAAAGAGACAGAAGTCACACGGAATCGCCTTTGGCAGCAGCCAGAGACACCAGAGAGAAGGCGTAGGTTTATCTAAGTAGTTCTGTCTCCAATACTCAATGCAGTCTCCAGAATTGCACAGCGGCACAAGCAACTTACTATTGTGAATAGTTTTTTTTCTAAGGAAAACAACAACAAAGATGTCTTAAGTTGTTTCGTAGCCGTTACTGGCATAATTTATATTATCAGTCGTATCTGACCGCTTCAGCTACTTTCCTTTTATTGCATCTGTAATTTCCCTAAAAGGCCCCTGAAAAAGTTTTTTAAACAGCCTTTTGTGACGCGCCTGTCAAAAAATGAATTTTACGTAAAAAAAAATGTTTTAGAGCAATATTGAGGGCGAGAGATTTATTTGAAATTCTGGGCGCAAACCCCATGACGTGACGGAATGGTCATTCGCTCTTTCCACCTCAACGTGAAGGCGAAGCCGATCCGCCTCTCCACGCGCCCGAAATGCCGAGAGAGAAAAGTGGAAAGGAGGTAACTACCGACTAAATCGCGCCTCGCGCAGTCAATATTGCTCTAAATCTTTTTTTTTTTTGCGTAATTTCTTTTTTACACGCGTGTTCAAATTAGACTGTTAAAAATATTTCATTTTTTTTTTTCAGATGCCCTTTAAGGTGTAACAAAAGGGAAATTCGTTTTTGCAGCTCATGGGGGACATCATATAACGAAGTCCTCTCAAAGCTGCCGATACATTTATGCCTCCAAGACGAGCTTCGCGGCTTCAGAGAACCGATTTCACATCAATGTCTTGTCTAAATATACCCGGGACATTTTGACAACTTTTTATTATAAATGCTATCCTCGCTTTAAAAACGTCCTATTGGTAGAAACGTGTTATTTGATACACATACTGGACCATATCTCTCTTGTGTCTTTCAGTGCGTCCAGGCGCTATTTGTCGTTAGCACCAACGCCATGCTGATCATGGACCAGCGAACGCTGCAGATCAAGTACCGCATTCCCGTGGGGGACATCTTTAGGATATCCCTCAGCCCGTTCTTGGATGACATCGCCGTGTTCCACGTTCGCACGGTGTGTTCAGCACTCTGCCCGACGCGTACATCGCGACGCTTCGGTGTCGGCCCCTTAATCGCAACGACGTACTGAGTCTTTTTGTTAGTAGGACAACACACAGGGACATGGACAAGGAACTGTAGGAACAGGACGAGCTTTGAAACAACAAATGTTTTAATCGACATAAATAAGAAAGATGTTAAATAAGTAGCCTACAAACAATACTAGAAAAAACAAGGAAATATCTGGGAATAATGCAGGAATGGAAATAATATAAATGAAAGGAAAATCCTATTTGATATGTTTGATATATAGTATCATTTATAGATTTCTCTTTCTGTTTTTCCTTCGTCTTGCCCAATAAAACGTCGGTTTTAGTCAACGCTTGCGCTGTCCCCGGTTCATCTTGTCCTTGTACTTCTCGTTTAGCGCTGTTTTTTTTTAAACTTATTTTCAACATGCGCAATAAACTAACCCTTCAGAACATTTTGACTACTCCTAGTTAGTCCAAAACTTTGAATTAACATTTTTTTCGATATATTGGGAACTACTAAGAGTCAGCCGTATCTAGTGTTTGCAATTAGGGTAAACCAAAAACTACTTTGAATTCAATTGTATAAGAAATATGAGAGAAATAGAAGATGCTCCCAACTGAATTCAAATTGGCGATAAAGAGAAAGTAAAATGTTGTTCCCAGATTGTTAAGTTTGCGGTCGTGTTACAGTATCTGCCTTTAGTAACATATTCTACACACTTTTTGACAAATAAAAAAATACCAAAAGGGCCGTAACATAAAGGTTTAAACGGTCGCCTAATCGCTAAAAGAAACAATTACGAGCCTAGCAACTTGCAAAATACAAAGTTTACACAAATGTGCACCGCGGTTTTAAGGTTACCGCGTTGTTTATTTGCGCCAAATTCACGCTTGTGACGTGTGAGTGTTGCCAACAAACGCTCATAGCATATTCAAGTCGCTTAAACAAAAATCAAACTGCATGGCACTTTTTTCACTTGTGTAAGGCACCGATATTATTTACGTTATGCTTGCGATTAACAAAGCTTCTTTCTCAATTCCAAAGATGGTCATGCGTGCGAGTTATCCCATGGCGCGTTCTTCCAGTACCTTGAACCCCTTGTCACAACCTTAGGTCGGGCCAGCTACTTTTCCCGTTTGTCGTGTCATTCTCGTCTCGTTCTGACGTTGTGCCGCATCTTTCGTTATTCTTTTACGCTGCTTCATTTACTTAGACGGAAGCCACCCGGAAGAAAGGCGACTTCCTCTTCGAGACCGGTCACGTGATTGAGATCGTCACGAAGCTTTTCTTGGTCATCCAGAACGCAACTGGGAAACCTCCGGAAGTTAACATCGCAACCGAGTAAGTCGCCCGTCGGCACCTTAAAGAGATTCAGGAGACGTTCCTTTATCGAGTGAATTCGTCACTGAAATACATAGTGACACTACATTGGCATTGTGATGGCACTTCAAAACGAGAGGGCATTCGATATGAAACAAACAGATTTTATTCATACAAATTATTTGCCTATAGGCTTCGTACAAAGAACGGTTTTTTATTCAGGAGATTCCATAAAAGGTTGAACATTTACCCGGCAAGAGCTGCTCCTGATAGGTTAACTGCATAAAAAAGAAGTTTCATCAGAGATATCGCTTTCCTATGATAAAAAGGGCAAAGTGGTAGGGTGTCATAGGTCCTATTGCTTGTTTCTGTTCTTTTTTACGATGGCCTTTTTTACGTGGTACCGCTGAGCCCCACCTGCGTGATCCGCGCTTGTTCTAATATATTTTCAAAGGCCTTATAAAATAATTGGGTTGTGATCGACTTCCTCTGTGTTCCTGAGTCTCGGGTTTTATTACCATGAATCATCAACAGCTCGCTTGTTTTTTTAAGTATCATTGCCGTCTTCTAGTGCAAGTTTTTCTGCAGTAAACCATGTGTCCTCTTTCTGTTTTTTTTTTTTTTGTGTGCGTGTACGACCGCATCTTATTATTACTTGACAGTCCCGTTGATCTCTGTTCACATGCCTCCTCAGGAAAAGCATAATCTTACCTCAACTATGAAGCCTTTTTATACAAATGTCTTTTTTATTCTTCATTTTCACAGGTATGCGGAGAGCAAGTTGTCTGGTTCTTCTACAGAGCTTGGGATGATGTCAGAACGCCGATCTCCTATTGGCTGATTGAAAAAATAGTGGGTATACCTCAAGGCATCTAGCATTGAGGTCTACCCGCTATCCTTTCAGTCAAAGCCAATCAGAGCTCGGCGTCGTCATGACGTCACCGCCACCCCGGCGCAAGAAGCAGACAATTTGCTTTCCGCGTAGGTTTTGATCTCACTTGTTCTTCACAGTGACAGAAGTTTCATCGTGGTGATAGGTACGATAGATACGACGATTTGAGAAGATGTGTCCGGTTAACAAAAGGAGCATCTGACAGGGTTGTTAGTAGCAATTAGATTAGCAGCGATCCGTTAATATTTTTTTTAATAATTGTTTTGTCCACGTACACCCCCATCCGGAGGGCTCGCAGCACAAAAAGTATTCCACTAGCGATCATTTCTGTAAAATATGGAGACATTTACAAGATGCTGTCCGGGTCCGCCGATGTTTATGGGATACGGGGGAACGGCAATGTTCCACACGCTGACAAGCAAAGCTAGCGAAGTCTTAGCAGCTGCTACCTTTAAAGGTGCTGAGTTAAAAAAGAGAAAAAAGTCTCCTCTTCAACAAGGAGGGAGGAAAAGCAGTCTCTTAATCTTCGAATGATGAAAAGCGTCAGCATCACCAAAACAACGACAGCAGAGACATTTCAAAGACGACTCTTTTTAGTTAAAGACTTCCAAAAGCAGTTGATCAATGACGTCTATCGTGCAACATTTCGGAAGAGGATTCCTATAAAACGGGAACAAATCCTAGAAAAATGGTGACCATTAAAATGCTCTGAATCCGTTCAGACTGAATGCGGAAATAGATATTTCTTAAGAGATAAAAATTCCTTTCCTGCAGTACTATAGGAAGTATTCACTGGACGCCATATTTGCGGGTGCTGTTTAAAGCTCATGCTGAGAACGAGCTCACATCAATAGGCTGCTATGAGCGGCACTCTTGATGGAGCGGAATGCACGTTGCAAAAGAACTGTGGAAGCTCGCCATCAGCACGCGCTCAGAATTCGCGCAGACAGCTATGGCCGCCAGTGAATACCCCCTATAGACGACTACAAGCAAGGTTACTGGTCACCGCCATGTCCCTGCTCGTGCGGACAAGCCCGTGAAATTTCAAGCTTGCCAAAAGCTATGTTTACGCGCAAGCTGCACGTGCTTGATTGAGCTCACGGGGCACCTGTCGAGGCGCCATATTTGCAATTTACTATAGTTCGTGAAATAACTAGCGATGTTTAAAAGTTTGCATTCCACGCTGTGCGGACTGGTGCATGCTATACGAGAACTTGTTTTGCAAAATCGCTTGTTATAACTGTGGATGTCAGTCAGTGTCGTTGGCGAGACAAGTTGTTCCACCCTGAATATTAATTAGCAAGAAAACCTGAGATCGCCAATCCGTTGTTTTAGCTCTCGATGTCCCTGTCGGTAACGCGCGAGGTAGCTGCGAACACGTATGCGATGTGAATAATACTTGCGGTTCCAAAATCATGGGAGATTTTCAGCAAACCGTTATTGTGTTCCGCGTACCGCACTACCGAAGCCTTTGAAGCTAAAGCCCCTCGATGTGTTTGCGCTTTAAGCGCGCCCCGCGGTCACCGTGTCACCCGGGCGCGCGCTTAAAAGCATGAGTCAAAGGCTCTGGTAGTGCGGTACGCGGAACAGGGTAATGGTTTACCAGAAGCCTCTGTTGCTACATATAAATAGGTTACTGTGGAGTAGGAATCAGGGTAACGATTCCTCCGAAACAAAACCGGGCATTCACACTCATTTAGCTTGTTTCAAATTATTACGAATTACAAATGGACACGAATCAACATTCGTGTTGTTTTATTAACGTGAAGTGCCACATGTTGAATAAATAACGAACCCCTAGTGCGGACTATGCGCCAGCCTCGGACGGTAGTCCGAAAAGTCTGTGCTGTACGCACTCAACGTTCACTGTGACTAACCTGCAAGACGTTTGTTTTTCAGCATATTCAGTATAGTGTTTCTTTTTCGCTTGTAAAATTAGTTTTACGCAGTACACTAGATCCGGAGGTGGTGGACGATACTTCTTTCATAAGTCGACTCCATTCTTTCGCCTTGGTGGCGTTGTCTGTCAATGTCTCGAGATTTGAGTATGGGGTAACTCACTATATTGAGACCCCTTTATCAATGTAAATGCCTTTTTACGATTGTATCGAGATCTGTCAGTGCCCCTTTATCGATGTCTGGCGATCTAAGCATGCGGTAATTCAATAGCTTATCTCGGTCTTCACCCCCTCGTCCTCTCCGTCCTTTGCCGCAGGTTCGAAGTTAATTTCGGCAAGGAGAACGTCGTCCTGGGCTTCCGGTCGTCGGTGATGACCGACGTCCAGTCCGGCCAGATCAAGATCTCCCGGAAGGGCAACCGGATGGAAGTCGTCTTATGAGGATCGCTTCTATAGGCGGCTTTTTTCAATTGCACTTCCAAGGACTCGCTCCCGTGGAGGACACTCTGCATGCACAGACGTCGACGCTGTTTCACTCAAATCTCGACTAGCTCTAGCCTAGCGCTCTTGTTACTTTCTCTCGCGATTACACGTATACTTGCCTTAGGTTTTTGCTCGGAGACCAAGCGTCTTGCACGCGCTCTGAGAATTCTCTTTCAGAGCCTGCCTTACGAAAAAAAACAAAATGAACTCCCGGCGCCGCCTGTTCAAGGGTCTTCCAAGACGGCGGCCCCCCGACATGTCAGTGTTACTGAACGACAGAAATGTTTCTTCGTGGGTTCGCGCGAGTTTGCTTGTCATACTTGGACAGCATTTGTTTTAGACTGTTGGACATTCGGTGTTTAAAATCACCCCCTATTATATTTGTCTGAGGCAGTTGACACAACGTACGTCTCACTAGAACGCTGCATCGCAGCCCCTGGATCGGGTTATTTGACTTGCATACTTTCGTACCATACCGTCGCAATCTCACATGGTGTATGTAGTCATATGGCGAGCATTGTGAACCGGATTTGTCCTGTTCAGTTTTTCTTCGTTTTTCTTTCTATCTACGAGTGCGTGATTGTGTGGGTGTCTGCGAGAGCGTCTGAAAATGCTAGGTTTACCAAGGTTTTAGGGGTAAACTAGAACTGCTCCCATTGCTCAAAAAGAAAAATACAATAAAACACCAGCACTAGATAAACTAATAAAAACATGTATTTATTCATCTTCACTCGAGCGATGCGCTAACACCTCACGTAGGTGGTGTTGCGTCATTTTTAACGTTCATCATCGCCAGCGTGGAAGCGTTGGACATGCATGGGTGTACCTAGCGATGCATTTTAACCGTGGGCATCATTTTTGAGTTGCTTGTTCGGAGTTAATTCCGACGAAAAAGTACCTCGTTCGGATGACCCTTGTAAATATCCATTCGTCGAAAATAGATATGTCGCGTTTTTTTTTTTATTTGGTGATAGCTACGAGACGTTATTTCAGATAGTGATTTTTCTGAGAAGCCCTCATTGACAAACCTCTCCAGCTATCTCTTCGTTAAAATAGAGCCGGTTTGGTAGTAGAAGGACGTAGTTTCATCTCTTAATCATGACGTGCATTTATTAAGTTAAATGGCATTGTTATTTAAAATCTGAACGCTGAGTAGGATTATGGAGCAGATTAGATTCCAGAAAGCGCCTTCGCTTTATTTAAGTGCTAGGAGTACCGGATTCTAAAAAATTGTGAACAGTCACGTGTATGAATTCTTAATCTCATGAAGTCGGAACTTCTGCACAATGCTTCATATACATACTTTTGTTCTACCATAAAACTCTACGCTGTTGGGTGAAACTGGATATTATTATCATATTGGCTGGAACTTGCATATCAGGCTAAGAATTTAGCAATTATGAAAAAAAAAAAAAAGAATGCCGCAATATACAAGTTCACATTAACTTTCACGTAGGAACAGCGCTAAACACAACAGAAGCACGAGCTTGCATCTTTATCTCAGCAAACAAAATACGTGACATTAATTTATAAGTTTTTTTTTTTAGTTTATTAGGTAAAAAAAAGATGTAATGTTAGGAATTACCGCCATAAAATACGTATGCCAATAAATCGTGCGAAAGAAGACCAAGCATCCGTTCAGGTTAGGCGCGGTTCGTAGGGCACCTATGCACTTGCATTCACGGCTCGTTGACGTGACTGATACGGCCATGATACATCGCCATTCACTAGTCACGGCAAAAGTCGTTAAGCCTTCCAGAGGAATAAAACAAAAAGCGAATGATGGAGCACGGCAAGAACGATACTGGGTCTTCTTATGCTCTGTTTCCCATTAAGTTGGACCGGTTGACAATTCTCCGTTCTGACGAAGCCGATCCCGGAGCATTAAAAAGTGACTCGTCACGGCACTGGTTTCCTTTGCGAGCTTGTTATTACTGGCTAAACTAATCACGCTCAGAAAAGAAAAAAAAACGCAGGGTTGCGGTGCATTCACTGTGCGTGATAGTGGTTTAGTCGGCAACAGCGAACGCACAAGGGGCGATGAGTGCCGCGACGAATCGACCTTTTGCCATTGCTGGATTGGCTACGTCGGGTCGTGGCGTTGGCTTGCGGTAGAGGCCTTTGTGAAAAGTGTATGGGATGACGTTAACCCGAACTGTTTTCCGTTGGTGATTGTTCGAGACTTGCGGAAGACGAAGAATCCAAATAATTCGACCAATTGCAGAAAATGTAAAAAAAAAAAAAAAAAAAAAAAAAAACAGCATTTGTTTTTTGAATGGGCGCAATATCAAACACTCGCTGCATTTGTTTGTCGTCGACAATCTTCAGTCAGATAGTGATTGTGCCAAATTACACTGCCAACGTGAAGCAGGTGCAACTGATCGAGTTTGCCTTCGGACTGTGTGTTTCTTAATGCCTGTCTTACGTGAGGCGACTTCTCGCTAGTATTGTTACAAAGAATTGTTTGCGCGTGCGTATGTTGTTTTTACAAGTTCTTAGTGTTATCATCGGCAGATGTTAAAAACTTTCGAGTCGATCCACGCGTAACAAACCCGGTGCTTCTGTCTAGAAACTGAAAAAAAAAAAAAAATGTTCCACAGTTTAGCGCCGCTTTTCACTTTGAATTTGTCTATGTAATTTAAAACTCTAGATCTAACAAAAACAACACACACACACACAAACACTGTATGTTTGTCTTTTTATTCATAGCATTACAGTATAGAATCTGTTTATAATAAGTTTAGCTGTTTTCTAGGGTGCAGGATTCATGTGGGGAATCTGTCTTATATCCAAGGCTGCTACTCCCAACCGTAGGTGTACTGATAAATACTTTGTAAAAATACGCTAGGGTATAGGTCAGCATCTTAACAGGAACTATAAGAACAAATCTAGGAAATTCAGAGAACGAGTGTGCCGCTAGTCGTTTGGAGTTTTTCTACGCGAACGCACCTTGTTATTTCCTCGCTAGATGTCCGGTTAGGTGTATGCAGGTTAGTGTGTAATGCTCTAATTTTTTTCTTTTTACGTATTCTTGCCTTTCAACGGTCGATGTAAACTACTGTAGGCTCTACGAGTATATGCAAAGTAACCTTACATTAAGGTTAGCTACATCTTTAGTTTAACGAAACGCGAGACGATGCCGAAAACCGGAGTGCTGGACATTTTATTATGGTTAACATTTTGTGCCTTTCCTTCCGGATTAGATACCGTATGGTTTTTTTAGTTTGTCACTTTCTACCTGCTCATTTACTGCCGCAGACAAGTATCTCCGGTGTTCGTCATTGTAATACTTGCCTTAAGTTGTAAACTGTTTTAATGTCACGAGTTCATTGTTTTAGCTGTAATGTCCTTCTTACTCTGACCACTGAAAAGGTGTTGATATAAGATATTTGGTTAGCCTTTTTATTTCTTGTTGATGTAGACTAAAGACATGCCTAAATAAATTTGTGTACACAGTATAAATACATATATAGTATAGATATAACGCGTCATGTGTACAAAGTTGAGAACACGAAAGCAGACGATGCAGCCAGCGTTGTCCGGTTGCGAAGAGTTAACGAGAAGGAAAATAAGTTATCATAAAGAGGACATTGAGAAGTTTATAAGCCAAAATGTTTTCATACTAATTTTATTAATAAAAGAACAACCAAAACATGGGGTGTGTGTGTGCTTTATTCAGTACATTGTAATCGATTATTTTTATTCTGCGGCTTTGAGCTCACAGCATATCTATAATATATGTCCTTATTGATAATAGCCCGTTGGTTTCACAAGGGCAGTGATATCTAAAACTCTTGCAAATCCAAGAGTGTGAGCATTTCGCAAAAAAGTACTGGTGTCAATCTTTTTAGGTTCGCACCACTCTAGCACTTAGAAAAACGTTACGAGTTCAAGGACATGAAAGAACGACTCACCGGAGATAACTTTGTAGTTTTCCTTTTGAACTAAAATCCTTTTGAAAAACTTCGAATCGGTCCAAAGCGCACGTTCAAAACGGTTCTAGTGAAAGCTCGTGCTAGCGAAACCACAAACTTTCAGTTTAAATCGTATAGCCAACCGGCAACGGCCAGGCGGCGCCAGCAGCGTGAGAGCGCACGGTTATACCCTGTCTCGTTGTAACTTGACAAAAGGTGAACGATAAGCCGCACATTGCGTGCCGAAGGCTTTGAAATACGCGACGTATACGAGCTCAACGCACACATGTTGGAGCATGACGCAGCGAAAAGCCTGATACTTATTCGGAGTTGAGGCGCGCTCCGGTGATACGCAGTCACGTTCCGATTGGCCCGCTAGGGCCGTAGCTTCCGCTCTACTGGCACTTGCACGTTACGCGATTACGGCTGCCTACGATACCCAGTATTTCTTGATTCAGACACTAGGCTAAGAGGCGCCATCAGAGTAAAAGCTCACGTTTGAACAATGCAGCCGCCACCCCCAGGGGTACCCAATATTTCTTGTTTCAGTCGCTAGATGGCGCCAAACCAAACAGCATTGCAGACTGCCTATAGCCGAGTATTTTAACGTGAAACGCTCTTGGCTAGGCGCTCAGCATTTGGCGAAGCCTGATAAGCGTGGGCGCGAACCTCGATGCTGATCGGATAACCGCGTAGGTCACATGCCCAGAGGGGTAGGCGAAGAGGAGCTGGACTCCCTTTTGGCACTGAAAGAGAAGGGCTCAATTGTATGGAAGGCTCTGCAAGAACGCCAGGTATATCAGCTCTGCTACGTGAAACTCAGAGTATCTCTAAACGTTTCTGATGCTACAACGTCTCACGTGTGCTACGAATTTCCTAACAATTTGCCATAAGTGTTTTTGTATACTAGGTTTTGTCCTAGTTTTTGCACATCCCTAATTGGGTCTTATGTGATCCGTAATATCCTCTACATCAGGCGTCTCCAGACACCGGCTCTCAGAGGTGTTTCTGCCGGCCCGCAAATGGCCGCGGTCTTTCCAGTGTGACGCCCGGCCGCGACCCGCTGCTACAAAA